AACTTGCATCAACATCTTTCTCACAAACTACTTGGGTGATCTAAGCCGGTCTTTCAAAAATAATGACATTTTTAATTGAAACAGGCTCTGAGAAGTGCAAAAGCTAAGGCGCCCAGCCTTTCCTTGCAATAATTTGTAAGTTTTATTGTCCCATTCTTCATCTATGGTTGTGCTATTGCCTGCTGTTCTGTGGAAGAGCAATCAATAAATCTGCTCGTACTCAAGCTTTTTTCCCAGCTCTCCCAAAACTAGGATGTATGTAAGGATCCCATCAGCACATACCATTGGGAAGGGCAGCGCTCAGCAGCATGCTTGCCTTCTTGTGCCCGAAACTCCTGCATCTTTGAATCTTTCTCATGTCTCCCTTCCCCACATTGAGTCATGATCCTTGCTCTTATCCTCAAAGTCTCGCAAGCCACACTCTCCTCAACTTATCCAGCAATGTCCCATCCTGTCTCCTCAACTTATCCAGCAATGTCCCATCCTGTCGCTCCTCCGCCCCACTCCATAGCAGCCGTCATGTTTCCTTCTGTCTCTTCTCTCAGCCCCTCTTCACCCGTTCATCTGTGCAGTGACTTATGTGTGGCATGGCCTTCCCTGCCAAATCGTTGCATTCCCTCCTTGGGCCTTGCCTTGAGGCACTTAAGAGAATCAGTCAGATGCTAATCAGAGGAGAAGCATTTATCTTACTAAAAAAAACAAACAACGAAACCAAACCAAACGCCATAATCTTTCCTTATTAGCGTTGTAGCCAGCGCTGTGACAAGAAGGAAAGGATGATTCTGTCTGAGGCTTTTGACATAATTAAAAAAAAGAGCAGGAAGTGTTATGATAAATAGCGAGGTCACGTATTTTCTGGTTTCATAAACATGGATCTGGATTAACTCTGATGTGAATTATGCAGAGCCGTCCTGGGATTTACACAGCAGTGTTGAGTTCTCATCTCTGTAGACTGCTTCCAAGAGACAAAGCTCTTGCCACATCAGCAGGCTTTTAGAGGTCTCTGTGCCGTTTCAGTCAACTGCACTTTTCTTTTCAAGCTTTCTTCCTTTTAGCTGATTCAAAAATTCACCAGAGGGCCACCCTCCAGGAGCTGTATTAATCCTCGTTTCCCATCCCACTCTGTAGAGTATGCTCATGGACTGCTGCAACCCCATGGGACTCTACCAAAATACTGAACAGCTCTGACCACATGCAGATTTATTCTTCCACTCTATGCAAAGCAGGACTAGGACCACTGCTTCTGAAGAAAATCTTGGATTTAACAGAAATACATCACAGACATTAACTTCAACAGAGATACTGCAAAAGGAAACCACCAGTTACCACTTTCTGTTTGCTTTTTTCCTCGACATTTGTGGATCAGATTCTCAATATTTAAAAACATTTACCCTTTTTGCAAGGCATGTTCGTATCAAATGCACAAATCCATAAAGTCAACTCCTTATGTCTTTTCAGAGCAGGGCAAAAAATGCATCAGTTTGAAGTCCAGGGGATGTATATTTCCAAACTGGCCAGCTGCAGGGTGAGTTAAGAAAGCCTGATGCCAAACAAGCAACCCAATTTTAGGCCAAGGAGACACGTGTTCATGGCACCTCCAGCACCCGAAGGAATGGCTGGAAGGTGCAGAAGTAACAACCAGGGAGCAAGCCCTGTGTGGTCCATCTCTGGAGATGACCCCTGGCCAAGGCAACCTGTGTGCTACGAAATGCCTGGCAGCCTGGTGGGTGTCTGGTCAGTCGTGACCTGCAAAGTGCTCCCAAAGCCGTTTTGGAGCCATGGTAGTGTCTGGCAGTGGAGTTTGAGGCTGGACTCGAATTAGCAGACCTGTCCAGAGGCTCTTTCAACACACCTTTTTGCTCCTGCCATCTCCTGTAAAGGCAGCTTACCTTGAACTGCAGACAGCAAGAAAGAAACCTGGAGTAATTTATTTCATCATCCTCTGCCAGAGCAAGATTGTTCCCTAAAGCATATTTTCTGGTGATTTGTTCTGCTTACCTTTAGAAGACACAAGTAATAGCCTTCATCCCTTTCATAAGAAGACTAATAGACATCAACAGTGGGATTTTTTGTTTTCTTGGAAAGGAACCAAATGTCTTTTTTTTATTATTAATTCTATCTTGCTACTGGTAGTTAATCTTCTTGCAGCAGTCTTTGACTATTTCTCTCCTCCTTGAGATCCTCAACCTCAATTTGCGTCTTTCCTTTTTCTGCCAGATTTCAGCCAATTTACAGTATCTTTATTATTGTAAACTAACCCTTGAAGACAACCCCCGGCAAGGTAATATCTGTGTTCCTACAGGTATCTTCTAACAACAGACATTTCACTGAGTGACAAGAGAAGGGAAACACATAGGTGATAAAGCCCACGCTTTTAAATGTCGGTCCTTTCCCCATCATTTCAAAATGATGGTGGGGAATTTTGATAAAGGCTCAGACTAAGGTATTGAGAGGCAAAGCAACTATTTTTTTCAGAAATAATATTTTAAAGTACACAGGAGCGGATTGTAGCTGGGCATGTATAGGGTTAATCTTGTCTGCAAAGTAATTGAGAAAAATATCCACTGATTTCTGAGGACACTCTATTACCAGCCTAAGGTAGAAGAGCCTCCAGGGATTTAAAAGCAGTCAATAATTCTAAAAAAAGACAGAGCAAGCCTTTGGTTCTGGTTGATATTAAGTTAGAGCAATAAGTCAATGCAGCTTTTCCATACCAGCACTGTCTTCAGACTTGTATACACAAGGCAGCTTCTGGTCTGCAAATGAAGCTGGCTCCAGGTCTGCTCACTGTTACTCTTCCCTGTCTCCAACCTCCCCGTTGCACTGACTCCCACCAGACTGTAGCAAGCCATAGGATTCATCAACCACAGAACCACATAGGGGCCACTAATTGTAGCTAGGAGTTAATAGGTGCTTCCTAACAGTGAGGAGGTCCCCAAGGTGTGCCCCTGCCACTGCATGGAGCAGGTGCTCTTCCTATGGGGCTTGTCTTGGGAGAGTCCCTAAGACCCCAACCCAGCATGTGAAGAGCGTTGGAAGAGCCAAAATGACATGGAGGATATTCTGCTGCCTGTGATTGCTTACTTTAAAAATAAATAACCCTGCTTAGCAGACAGATTTATTACCAGGCATGAGGGATTACAAAGCCAAGTCACTTTGATTCATTAGAGCATTCAGAGAGTTTGTGTAAGTTCCTGGAAGCTGTCTGGGATGGCCTTTAACCATCCTCTTGCCGTTACCTGATGGTGAAGGGGAAAGTTGGAAAGCACTTGTGCTGAATTTATTTTTCCCTCTGTTTGGTAATGGATTTTGACAAGCTGTTTAAAGAACTGAGCCTTCTGACTTGTGCTGTGCCCAGCTGTCCTTCCAGCTCAGCTACGTGTAGCCTCTTCTGTTCTTTTCCCCTCTCTCTATAATAATCAACAAAGACCTACCTCCGTTTCCCCGAGGCCAGAGTAATGCATCTTTCTGCATTTAGAAACCTCCTACGCATATGAACATGTACTTTGTGCAGCAATGTTGTTTTAATTAGACACGTCTTTCTTCTTTTTTGGCCAGAAATACACGAAATGACCGTGCACAGCTTTTCTGCAGCCAAGAGGTAGCACAGCACCTGTGGTACCCAGCCACTGGTGGTAGGAGAGGCATCCTGGCTGTGCTGGGGGCTGGGGCAAGGGTTGGAAGGGGGGACCAGACAGACTTTGTGCCCGGAGCTGGCAGGGAAATGGAGGCAAAGCTTGGGCAGGAGAGAGAAGCAGGGAGAAGGCAACCCTGGGTGACCCTGGGCATAGGCAGGGAGGCAGAAGAGGCCCACCTGAAACAGGTGTGAAAGCATGGCAGGAGACGTCTTCTTTGTAATGACCAACATTTCATGGAAAAGAGCTAATTTAAGCCAAAACTATTAGGACAATAACCCACCCAATACCAAACTGTATAAGGCGACAGTTGAATGCTAGTGTAACTACCTTTAACTTCAGCAAGACACAGTTCTGACACAGGTGGTCTCCTAAACCTACGCTCAAAGTACTTGTTAGATAACGTGCTCGTTCATCTTTTAGGCTTTGTCTCCTTAAAATTGTATCTACTATTTTCCATCTGAGTATCAGTCCATTCAGAAAGAGCTGGCTTAGAGACTTCTGGAGGTAACACCTCTCAGAAGCTCCTGCGATGTTCAGCAATTTTCCTTTTCATTAGAGACTTAGTCCCTTTCATTTCATAGCATTAGATTAGGAACATTACTGAATATTCCTTAAATTTCTAGTCATGTAGATATTACTGATAGTAAGAGAAACATGCTGTTAATAAATGGTTCTTGTAATGAATAGATCAAGCTATTGAATAGATTATATATCAATACTGGCTAAATCATTGTCCACGGCCAAGTGATGCCCACACTTGTGTTCTGCAGTGCCTCATCTTCAGCTTTATTAGCAGATGAGGCTACAAGTCACCATCTCTGACATTTCCATTTTGACTATGTCATTGATGTGGTCCACAGATGAGTACAATGTGGGCTCCTTTTCCCCTTGGTGGGAAGTGAAACCCTCCATGAAATATTCTCTAAACATCAAAGGGAGGTTGGCAAAGCAGAGGAGAGAGATCTTCTGGCTTTCAGTTCTGCCATAAGGAAAATGTACATAATCCTGACCCTAACTGTCCTGTAATTTTTATTAGTTCTCTTTGGCTTGCAGCAACGACCCTGTGAATAATGCATGCTGCTAGATGGCTTTCCTAAGGAAAAAAGGCTTATGCAATCATAGTGTCTGCCACTACCCGCCTTCTCCTTACCCCGTCATAAATCAGAAACCAGCCGGCTAGTTTCAGCCAAACTTGACAGAGGGAAAGATGTCTTAAAGATACTGTGTTAAGTAAAAAAAAATTAAAATAGCGACCATTTATGGAAGAAATCTCCTTATAGCGGCCTTAGTAAGGGACACAAGCTCAGTTCTTGCTACAGGTCTGAGGTGCCGCTCGCATACTGAAGTCCAAGAAACACATTCATGGAAAAGAATTGTTCACTGTTTCTGCTGCTCACACAATGTCTTGTTTCTTTGCAGATCACGTACGGTGAGCCCCAGAAGTCATGCTCCAAGCCTGTAGCAGACAAAGTCACAGAGAGCTGCGAGCAAATCTGCCAGTGCAGGCCGCCTCCGCCGTTACCACCTCCTCCTCCACCTCCACCGCCCCCCAGGTTGCTGGTGGTGCCAAGTAAGTGACCACTGGTTTGGTTGTGGTGCACTGAGGGAGGGGAAAGTGACAGGGCCACCTGGACAGACAGGAGAAAGGATGTGGGAGAGGGCACAGCTAGTCCATTTGTCATTTTCCACTTAGCAAATGGAGGTAATTCTCAGTGGAGACGGAGATCTGTTTTCTGATCAATGAATAATGCTTGGCTTTTGGAGGAAAGCCAGAGAAATTCCCTCCTTTCATTGTACTGTATATTCCCTAGCTTTAAATGGTTCCCTGATGCACTAGCCCTGGGAAATGCTTTTCGACGGAGACATAGCGCTGTGCTTCCCCTTGAGATGCATGGCCTCCTGTTTCGCCAGGTCTGGGCGAAGACAAATTAATTTATACCTGGGCAAAAATTCAAACACTCTGCCTAGACAATCTTGCAGGTTTGGCTCTCTCCAAGATACCAATGCTCTACTGGTTTACCATGGCAGTGAGTCAGGTTCACGAATTATAAATTTCTTCCAACTGTAGCCAAAGTCAGAGGCACATCAGGAGTCAATGGCAAGTGAGCATTTTTCCAGCTAAGGCATATACAGGCTAAGGCTCATCTATTTTTCTTCATACAAATCAGTGTTCCCAAGCCTTACCCAGCCCATCCAAGCTCCTCCTAATTTCCAGATGGACCTCACCAGTGTGAGCCCAGGACTGGGCCAGACCCTGCTCAGACACTTTCAGGTCCCAGGTGTTTGATATTCCAGCAAATCTCCTTAATGCTTCTGTGTTTTTGCAAATTTGTCTCTCCCTAAAAGGCTGCCTATTAATTCCTCTCCTTGCTTAGACAAACTCCCCTGGGAATAGTGTTGCAAAGTACATCTATTATCATTCCCAGTGCTTCCCCAAGGAGAAAATAAATCATTAGGTAGCATCATTTGGCTGCTTGTCTTTATTGGCGCCATCCTCAGATGTGCAGAAGACACGGCTTCTGCACCGTTTTTAGCCGGGCAGAGGACAGGCAGAATTTGGCAGGGTGTTTTCTGCCAGGAGCATGCTTTGTGTTTGTGCCACACTGCAGAAATTTAAGGCAAAGGCAGAAAAAAATCCCCAGTGAAACACTTGGGAAAGGAAGTCCAAAGACAGCTTGGAAAGCAGAGACAAATATTTTTAATAGCAGGAAAAATCTCATTCAATGTTCAGGAAAATGTCATCACAGAATCACAGAATATTAGGAGT